AATTACCTGGTGATGCGGCAGGTTCAGCCGATCGCGGCCCCCACTGGCCGCAGTTCACCGTCCCAGGCAATGGGGGCGGTGAGAAGCAGCACGGGCGAGCGATGTGCTGGCCACGGCTTCTCGCCGCCCCCATTGGCCCGGGACGGCGAACCGTGGCCAGTGGGGGCCGCGATCGGCCGAACCTGCCGGTAAATAAAACTTGCCCGGCCCGCCAGGGTGCTTACCCTGGCGAGCCGCGTGCCAAACGTTGCCGACCCCTGGGCTAAAACATGAATCTTTAACCTGTCCATAACAGGGTTTTGCCACATTAATATGCCTGTATGAGTTTGTATAGTGAGTTCTAACTGGTAAATAACCATTGTTTACAATTACTTTGCTAGTAGGCTCTACATATGTTTTTTGTATAGATTGTCTTATGTGTATGTGGTTCAGGTAACACATCTGAGATTGATCTAATATAGCAAATTTTATTTATATCTATCTATCTAATATAGATTCAATATATCTTTGTCTATTTCTGTGCACAAACCTCACTGCAAATTTGTGTATGTTCTTGCCTGTTGTCAGAGCCCCAAAGATGAAAAATAGTGACTTTTGGCATTGTAAAATTTACTCCTTTTTTTGTTTGTTTTTTAGAAGCTATAAATAATACCAACTGTTCCCACTTGGAATAACAGTAAAATTATTCACTTTTACCTTCAACTTGTTAGTAGACATTTCTGTATTAGTAAAGCAATGCTCTTGAGTGGCATGATCTCTTTAAAAATAGCAATCTGTAAATCCATTGTTCATTAACAATGTGATGGTCAATATCTGTTAACACAAGAAATAGTAGTTCCTCAAGAAACAGTTAGACCGTCAGTAAGGACTTAAATATTTTATCTAATTTTTGTTTTAAGTGACTTGAAACCATGTAACTGTTTACATAACTTCTCTTAGTAACTACATTTCCGATTGTTATTACCCTCCTCCTCTCTCCAGCTCTCGTGATTTTGTTATACCGACACTCATAGCTCCTGGTCTTTAAATTAAAGTGTAAGATCTTTGGGGCCAGGATTGTTTTTTTTTAGTATGTTTATACAACATGCTGGGCAAGGATGCCCCAATCTTGACTGGGCACTAATGTAATACAAACAATAAGGGGTAGGAAGAAGGAATAACGCTAGGGTGTGGGGGGCTTTTTTTTTTCCCCAGTGGTCTAGACAAAAAGGTGTCTTGTACTTGTTCAAGAGAAATAAGCTTATTGATGACTTGAAGTCAACAGTTGGATATTTGTTCCTTTCCTTTCCCAATACAGGCAGCATAAATCCAGTGTGTGTAACTCAATTGAATGATCCTCTACAGAAATTTTCCAGCTCTGTAGCCAAAAATGGCACTAACCTCTCTTGGAAAGAGGAGTTCATCTTGTAAGTAACCACCAACATAACATTTTCTATTAAATGTTTCTACAGTCTCAATTTATATAAGACGTTGGAAGAGGAACTGTGTTTTTAACGTATCTTATTAGTTTTATTTCAGATGATTTGACACTGACAGGGCATAACTGTGGTTTTTAAAGCAATTTTCTAGTACTGAGTTATAGCAAGTGTTAACATGGATTTCAGTCATTTTTATTTTTAATTGAAGATTGTTGGGCCTGGGATTGGGAAGTACAGATGTGTGGTTTCTAATAGAGATGGATGATGGCAAGTACCTGAGGGCATTCCTACACCACAATCTTAAGTCGACCTATGTTTTGTCAGCGTACAGCCATCGTAGTAATGACTGTGGTGGCTGATGTCCACACTATCCTCCTCCTGTCAGTGGTGTGCGTCCTCGCTAGGAGCGCTTCTGCCGACTGAAGAGGGGTAGTGTGGGTGTTCTGAGAGCCGGGGCTCTCAGCTCCACACAGCTCCCTGCCGGGAGCCCAACTGCTCCCTGCTCCCACCTGGGAGTGAGGGGAAGCCACCTGGGGCTTCTCGTCTCTGGAAAGGAGATCCATGCCTTAGTCCAGTTGGTTGCCATGCTCCCAGTGGGGAGCCTGGGCAGCAGCCCAAGCCGAGAGCCTGGATGACAGCCCAGCTTGGAGTGGAGACCTGGCAGCACCACTGGGGAGTTGGCTTTCTTGTCAATTCCCAGTTCCAGCTGAGCCGTTAAAATGACAAGCCAGCCGATGTAAGGAATGCAGTGTCTACACAGACGCTGTGTCACCCTAACTACGCCGACATAATTCCTCCTCCAAAGTGTTGGACTTATATCTGTGTAGTAGGGCACATGCATCCGCGGGAGCATGTCATGTAGACTGACATAAGCTGCCTTATGTCAACCTAACTATGTAGTGCAGACCAAGGCTTAGTCTTAAAAGGGCGTTTGGTATAGTTCTATTGTAAGTGCAGGTCACAGAGCTCTATGCTGTGGAGTGGGAATGGAAAAAGAGATTACAGACAGTTTGGATAAAGCTGCTATCTGACAGTACTCTGAATGATACAGCAGTTGCTTAGGTGATCACTATCAGCTTCAGTGTTGTTTAGGAGAAAGCCACTGATAGGGCCAGAGGCTTTTTACTTTACTGGCTAAAAGGAAGGGAGGGAGCAGAAGCAGGTTGTTATAATAAGTGAGGAAAAGAAGTGCTGCTGTGTGTACTTCTCTTCTCCTAGAGCATTAAAGCAAAAGGTGTTGGCTCCCATTGGGGTCTCCCTCTCCTTACAGCCGATCAGTAGCTTTCCTACCCCAATCCATTTTAGGAACCTTCCCTCCTTTCTACTCGCTTAAAAGAAAAGTGCCACTTGCTGTGTCCCCCTGTGTCCCCCTCACCCTGGAGTCACTGTACAGCATCCATTGTCCCTTTTGCCCTCCTAAAAGGGCAGAGAGGCAAATTTCATGAAGACCTGATCTAGGAGAGGATTAGGTCAGTGCTACTGCTGGGACTGGCAGCTGCTTTACCACCTGCTTGAGGGGTGGAGTGAACTGGCTATCTGTTCTTCAGTCCTAGGGGGTGGGAGGGCACTGCAGTGCACAGCTCTGAAGAAGGGAAGCTTTCTCCCTCCTCATTGTTCCCGGCGCTGCATGTGTAGGTGCATGCATAGCACAGGTAAGAGCATTGCGAAGCAGCAACAGCAGTGGACGGGTTGTGAAGGAATTGTAGAGTGAGATAGTTTAGGATGTGGAGAATGCAGCTCCCCCGATTTGAATGTATGATAAACGCTCTGAATTTGACCTAGCCAGGAAGAGAAGCTTGGTAAATATTTCTTAATGCAACCCTGAAAATCTTGTTTTTATCATGCACTTAAATGAGAGTTGTGTCCAGTGCATGCTGCTGTATGTTATCTTGCTGTTATGTTTAGTGAAAAATAATTAGCCTTGAAGCTGCCATCTTAAGACACCTAAAGTCTAGTGACTTATGTTCTTTTCTGTGCTTGGTCTCATCACTGGAAAAATGTCTCTCTCATCAAAGACACTGGCCTTGCAAGGCCACGGACCAGACACTCTGCCATGACAATGTGATTCTTTGCCACCACATTGCTGGGATGAGCATGATGCAACTCATTTGCATTAATAGAAATAAACCAGTTGGATAGCATCTTTCATCTTGAAATATCTCAACGTGCTTTATGAACTTCATATATTGTATTTGCAGATGGCTTCAGCTATCTGTTAGTGGGGAGTTCAGGTGAGCAGGATGACTGTTTTAACTGGAACTTGGTCATTACACCATAGTTATGGTATGCTTTCCATAGTGATAGGCACATGTAGAGCACCCAAGGTAGATAAGTTTGCAAAGTCCGATGAGTTCTTTAATGATGATAAGTAGTCAGGATTTGGTCTATGTCTGCACTGCACACCTTACAGCAGCACAGTTGTGTCGCTACAGCAGTGCCACTGTAAGGTATGCAGTGTAGCTGCTCTTTGTTGGCAGGAGAGAGCTCTCCCGCCGACAAAATAAAATCACCCCCAACGAACTGCATTGGCTCAATGGGAAGAGTGCCACCTACTGAACTGCCAACACTACTCCCCTTCCTGCTGGCATCCTGTGTCTTCCCTGGAAGTGTGGCTCAGTACTGAGAAAGTTCCCACCTGAATAGAAGCATGTTTCCAATATTAAAGTTCTCCACTGAACTCTTATAATAATTGCAGAAGGAATAGAATAAAGTTTAGAGGAAATTTCACAATATCCATATACTTTAACAGCCCAGTTGATAGATTTGGGTGTGATGTTTTTGTTTTTGTCTTTTTTTGTCTATTGCATAAAGCACCACAGGTTGTTCCAAAAGCAGTTGTGTCTAATGATTCATGCTGCTCATGTCATGTTCTTTACTCTCATCCTCTTACAGTGTCCCTTCATTCTAACTTTGTGCCAAAATAATATGGACCCTTCTTAGAGAAAATACCAAAGGGAAGCACCAATGATTTCTAAATCAGGAAGTTTCACAGTCAGTGGTCAGATATCTATGCCAGAAAACTATTTATTTAAATGTAATATTTACCTTCCTTATTAAAATAATCTTACATTGGCAGGATGCTACTCCACTTTTAATAGACCACTGGATCTATTCCATCTTCTTGACTTATGAATTTGGGAGCTGTTGTTGTCTCAGCTGTACGCAGAAGGAATTGTTTCTCAGTCTTCGGGTAGAGCACAGACATGGAAAACTTCATCCTGAAAGGCAAAGTTTATAACCAACTGAAAAAAGGCCCTCTTATAATGGAAATGTTTTGGCAATCCTAAATTTAGTGAGGAAGCTAGATAGACCCAAGGTTAGGCTCCACCCCAGCATTCCCTTCCCTCAAGTTAATTGAGTTCAAGAAGTGGGACACATGTTTTCTCGACAGTATTTGAAAGGCAGAGTGCTGTAAATGCTGTCTTAACACTTTCCACTGGCTGGACAATAACACTGCACTATATGGTGCAATATGCAAGGTGTGAGACATAATATAAAGCCTTCTGTAAAGAGTGATTTAAAATGAAGAATGGAGAAACATTCTCCGTACAATAACTGGAGTAGTAATGAAAATTCCTTGAAGGGTTGACATCATTTTATTTATTCCACAGTGAATTAAATGCCAAATCAAAAGAGTTACAACTGCAGATCTTGGAAGATGGGAAATTGGATAGTAAGTACTGCAACTGAATTCTTTTGCATGGTCCCCTCATGGGCATTACTGAGCTCTTGAAATAAATCCTCTTTTGTTTACACAGTTGAATAAGATCATGTAAGAAGCTGTCAGAAGTTGGCAGTTAATGTAGACCTGTTCTGCTGACTAACCCTGGTAGCCAGATCAGGTACGCCTCAATAACTCCAGGAACAAAGAAGGCTGATAGTCGCTGGGGCAAGAGAGCCCTTGAAAGAGGAGCCAGGAGTTTTGCTGGCTTGGACCATTTAAAAAAAAAAAAAAAAAAAAAAAAAGCCAACCCAGGAAGAATTTCAGAATTAAATTTGTTTGTAAACCCCGTTCTGCTTTAGGGCTTAGCTACTTAAATTATAGATCAAAGGCTAACTCCACTGGCAGTTTTAGATGACCTCCTGCTGCGAAGTGGGTATGGGTTTTTCACTGTTTCCTTGTGTTCCCAAACATTGACACAAGGGATGGCATTGTGCAAATGCTTTTCCATATTCCTGGGTTTTGCTTTATTCTTTAACAAAGCCCTAAGGCAGGACTGAATGTACAAACGAGACTTGAGTCTGAGTGCTGTCTTGAACTTGGCTGGTGTTTTTTATGGTTCCACCCTCTAATATTCTCTTGCCTTAGACGTCTCATGTTTTATGTTCCTGAATGGGCTTATGAGACCCACTTACTGTTTGGCAGGTCAGCAGAACAGTCCTGGACTTCTACACAGAGTGCAAAAGTTTGACTGCTTAGCCCAGAAACAAACTCTTATGCCACTTGTGTCTGGAACTGCTTACCAACTCTGAATAGTCTTGTGTTTATAAAACTTACTTCTTGTGCCAGAGAAGGGAAAAAAACATCCACCGCTTCTGAGTGGATGAATAGAAAGAAATCCCGATGAATCCTGACTTCCCTTCTGCCCAAAACTGGCTGTTTCCAAGCACATAATCCCACTTATGTATAATCAAACTTTGACTGTAGGGAATTGTACGCTACTATACCTGATTCTACCATCCCAGATTAGAGCTCCTTATCCCTACTTACAAGAAAGATGTTTCCATTGCAGAGTAACTCTCTACTTGATCAGGAGAGGCGCAGGCATATATATTTTTTTTCTTCTTGGATTGCTGGCGAGGGGATGGCGTAGGCAGGTTTTAAGATCAAAAGGAATGTTCAGTTTCACAACTTTTACATGAGACATGGTACTTTGTACCAGAGCAGTATTTCTCTATCCTAGTGCTTCACTTTAGGTAGAAACTCTAAATTTCGTGTTACACCTCATGGGTCAGTTTGCTAATATGTCAGGATTATTCTGTAAAAATGGAAGCATCCTTTCTGAGTCTTAGCTATTCTCTTCTATTTCAGTATTGTCAAATTTAGTTAACTTTAGATTAATAATGATTCAAAACCAAGTTAGATTACGGTGATAAACTTTCCACACCCCACCAAGTAAACACTACACATCTTTCCTCCAGCCTTCTGCCTCCTACCTATTAATGAAACCCTTATCCAATGTAACTTATGTAAGCCATATTTAATAACTTGTTATCAAAGCCATATTTAGAGTGCTATGTTAGTCATGTAGAATGTGTTTTTAAATTCAAGGTTGGCAAAAAGGAATTACAAAACTATCTGAAAACCATACAAGGGTGGGTGAGTTTTGTATTTTGTTACACTTTTGGTAATTGTGGCTGTTTTTAAAAGCTCTGTTGGGCCACAGATTTTTAAGTGGAAATAAGCCAGTTTTGGGGGAGAAATGGTTGTGTATCAGAAACATACAGAAAGTAACTTTTTTTTTTTCCTCAGCAAACAAATGTGAGGGGGGAAATAGCCATTTTGTCAAAAACATATATACAGAGATGTGGAGGATGGAAAGACCCACACACAAATGAAAT